TTAATTTCATCATGTAAACATATCGATACAGGAGGGAGAGAGAGAGAGAGAGAGAGAGAGAGAGAGAGAGAGAGAGAGTGTGTGTGTGTGTGTGTGTGTGTGTGTGTGTGTGTGTGTGTGTGAGAGAGAGAGAGAGAGAGAGAGAGAGAGAGAGAGAGAGAGAGAGAGAGAGAGAGAGAGAGAGAGGGAGGGAGGGAGGGAAGGAGGGAAGGAGATAGCAAGAAAGAAAGAGAGAAAGAAAGGAGACGAGAAGAGAAGGGGATAAGGAAGGGGAAGGGGAAGGGGAAAGGGAAAGGGAAATCTAAAGGGAAAGGGAAAGAGAAAGAGGAAGAGGAAGAGAGAATATCATCAAATGTAAAACTCGCTGTTGGTTTTGCAATGTTTATTAAGTGACACAATGGGGGCGGGGGGGGGGGCTGTATCGACCTCCCACGCTGAAATCTCCGCCTGAAGACATTTTTTGCCTTCGCTGTTGTGTGACTAATAAACATTTCAAATCAGTTTTATTTTTTCTTTCCATTCTTTTTCTTTCGCTCTTTCCACCTTCTGTCTCTGTCTATCTGTCTGCCTGTTTGTCTATATGTCTATTATCTGTCTATGTCTCTCTTTCTCTCCCTCTCCTTCTCTTCCTTCTCCATCTCCTTCGGCTTCTCCTTCTCCTCCTCCCTCCCTCCTTCCCTCACTCACTCACTCCATTTACATATGTGTGTGTTTGTGCGCGCGCGTGCACAATTATCATCCTCATTACCATTATCGTTATCGCTACAATCACCATGAATTTACCCTTCCAGACACAATGGCGTGTTCCTGTGAGCACGTGAGGCTACTGCTTGTCCTGGTCGCCTGTGCTTGCGTCCAGGCAGCTTCCGTCGCCAAGGTATGTGGTTGTCTGAAGGTTTCTACATTTTTTCTGTTGTCCAAGGGCAGGGTGTGAGTAAGCTTTATTGGGGGTGGGGGAGGGGGGGGGTAGAATAAAGGAATAAAGGGTGGGTGAAAGGATTTTGAAATTCTGAGACCGGAAAGTAATAAAAATGACGAAATTTGATTTTTTTTCTTCTCGATTGGTTTGCATGGAAAAATTTATAAGACTCATAAAACACAGATGATTTGTCTCTTTAATCAGCATTTCGTACAGGAATACCGCTGTTACGAAATAACTAAAATAAAGCTAATTTGAACAGATAGATAGGATAATGGCGTAATCTATTAAACGATAACACTGACAATTCTTTGTAGCCCGAAGTTTGGCGCCAATTTTCAAATTTTGCAAGTCAAAAAATCGGATTCTATTTGTAGGATTGGAGAGTATAATATTCTCCTCTGTCCTCATTTCTTTTTTTTTCTTTTTTCCTCTCTGTATGTTTAATGTTCGCGATTATTGTTACTTTTAAACGGTATATATATATATATATATATATATATATATATATATATATATATATATATATATATATATATATTTTTTTTTTTTTTTTTTTTTTTTTTTTTTTTTTTTTTTTTCCTTTTCTTTTTCTTTTTTTTCTTTCTTTCTTTCTTTCTCTCTCCTCCTTACATTTATTGTATTCCATTTTACTTTTCACTATCTCTCTTTTATTTATATTACATTTTACTCCATATTACTTATTCCTGTTTCCTCTTCCATCTTTCCTTCCTTTTTCCTTCTCTCTCTCTCTCTCTCTCTCATCACTCCCTCCCCCGTCTCTCTCTCTCTCTCTCTCTTTCAAACTCTCTGTAACCTGGAGAATAAGGCACATATTTTAAACACATATCTAAAAAAAAGTGTTAAACTTCTGATTGGATCAAGGCGTGTAATATTATCCTCTGTTTTGCAAGGAAGTTTGTGTAATGTGAAGCTATAATACTAATATTTATTACGTCAGATTATTTAGGATGTAAATGTAAAGTCACGCGCTTCTGAATGTTTATGTAAACCGAAAAAAAATCTAAGAAATATTAGTTTCTCTTCGTAATAAAAAAAAAATGCGTTTCTCTTCGTACTTTAAAAAAAATCAATTGCGTTTCTCTTCATACTTTTTAAAAATTTAATTGCGTTTCTCTTCATACTTAAAATATATAATTGACATTTTCGGAAGTGCTCATGAAGTATGTTGAAGTCATAGAAAGTATATATAAACATGAATATCAATATTTTTGGGGGGTCACGAGAATAGAAAACGTGTACGGGAATAGAAAACGGTGACGAGAATAGAAAACAGTGACGATAATAGAAAACGGGACCGGGCATAGAAAACGGGATCGGGAATAGAAAACGGGAACGGCACTCCCAGTCAAGAATCTGGATCCAATTTCACCATATATTATTTATGCTTAATTATCTCCTCGCTTCATTATTCATCGCTACGATCGGTCCCTCGCCCTCCTTTGTGTTCAAGTCTATCCTCCCTTTCTCTCGTCTTTCTTTTTCTTTCTTTCTCTCTCTTTTTCTTTCTTTCTTTCTCTCTTTCTTTTTCTTTCTTTCTTTCTTTTTTTCTCTCTTTTT